TATATATACACACACACACACACACAAACGCGAGCGAACATACATACCAACACACAAACACACACATATACAAACACACAAGCACGCTCAAAAACAATCACAGACACACCCTCACATAAACACAACAACTAGAGACATGCAGACAGAAATCACAGCAGGCCGACATAAAGCACGATGAGGGAAACGCAGTCATAATACATCAGATTACTAATCAATCATACTCATCTACTTTAGGGGAACCACGAAACCAAAGGAAGAAAAAAAAAGAAAGACAAAAAAGACAAACAAACCCCACCCAAAACGCCCCTACGCTTCCTATCATTTATCATCAAATTATTTATTTGATTAATGACTGGACATATTGGTGATATAACCCGACAACAATATTTTTTAGAAAGAATAAACGTTGGTGGTATACCCTGCAAAATTAGTTAGAAACACTGGTTGTATATCCTAAGATAATACTAGAAATGTTGGTTGTATATCTTGAGATGATATTCCAAATGTTGGTGGTATATCAAGAGATAACACTTGAAATGTTGGGGGTATATCTTGAGATAGCACTAGAAATGTTGGTGGTATATTCAGAGATGGTACTAGAAATGTTGGGGGTATATCTTGAGATAGAACTAGAAATGTTGGTGGTATATTAAGAGATGGTACTAGAAATGTTGGTGGTATATCTTTGAGATAATACAACAAATGTTGGTGGTATATCCTGCGAGAATACTTGAAATGTTGCTGGTTTTATCCTGAGATAATACTACAAATAAATGTTGGTGGTATATTTTGAGATGATAACTAGAAATGTTAGAGGTATATCCTGAGATGCTACTTGGAATGTTGGTGGTATATCCTGAGATGATACATGAAATGTTGGTGGTATATTAAGAAATGGTACATGAAATGTTGGTGGTATATCTTGAGTCCTGAGATAATGCTTGAAATGTTGATGGTATATCCTGAGATGATATTAGAAATGTTGGTGGTATATCCTGAGATAATGCTTGAAATGTTGGTGGTATTTCCTGAGTCCTGAGATGATACTAAAATGTTGGTTGTGTGGTCTGAAAATTTATTAAGAAATGTTGGCTGCATAACCTGAAATAATACTTTAACAACAACAACAACAACAACAACAACAACAACAACAACAACAACAACAACAACAACAACAACAACT